AGTGCAGAGTTGTGTTTAAACAAAAAAGAAACGAACGCAGAAATATGGTTACATTTGTAAAAAATCCGAGATTACATTGCGCTCTTTGTCTTGGTTGTTTTTCTAAATTTATTTAACCAGAAAAACTTTCAGAAAACTTTGATCAGCAGTTACCATTGTGAGAACGTAGAGAAGCAGAAACATCAGAAAGATGGCAGAGAATCTCAACAGCTCTTATAGAACGAATCAACAATTTTGGTTGTTGTTTTGGGTATGAAGCGTGTCCATGATAGACTCATACCTAAAGTCCTGACTCTTTTGCAGAAAGAACAAGTAGAAGTTAAAAAAAGAGATCCTTGACATCCCAGCATTGCAACAATGTAGCAAATGATGCACAAGGAATGAGCGGAATTGAAAAAAAAAACACTTCAAAGTTAGTCAAAAATCAAGGTTACAGTCAGCTGAATGGAACGATTCGGCTCTCAAACAACTGCTTAGGGACAGTACAATCAAGTGGTATACCGACGGCTCGAAAACGCCGGAGGGATTTCCCCCTTAGGTCGTAGGACCACGCACAAAACTCTCCAAGCCTATGGGTAGTTTTCTGGGAATATACCAAGCAGATGTCCTTGCTGTTACTCAGTATGTAGAGTTAAACCTCCAACGTAACTATATACTAAGCGGCTATCAAAGCGCTTTCTGCATACGAAACCAAATCGCTATTGGTGCAGGAGTGTATAGGTCGACTGAATAGTCTATCAGAACGTAACCAAGTGCACCTTATTTGGGTGCCAGGTCACAAAGGTATAGTCGTGATTGACCTGGCTGATGAGCTTGGCCACTAACAGCATCCACTAACATGGTAGGAACGGATCTTTTCATTGCGGTTGGTCCCCACACCATAAAGGAGCTACTCCGCAAGTATGTAGCAGTGGGTAGGGAGAAGCATTGGCAACAACTCTTGGGCATGCGCCATGCCAAGTTTCTAATGGGTGATTACAACCTTAAAAGGTTTAAATATGTAATCAACCGCCCAAGGGAAAAACGCAGACTACTTGTCGCCTGTACACTGACCATTGTAACCTCAAGAAGCACTTATTTAACATTCTTGTTGAGCAAATTGCCGATCCTGCGACTTGGAGTCTGAAACACCAGAACACCTGCTAATCAACTGCACAGCGTCTGTAGGCGCTGGATAAAGGACCTTGGATCTATTTTTCCAATTAGGGATCACATCGGCTCAATAGAACCTGGCAGTATATTAGAAGTTATCAAGTTGTTGGGGCTAATTGAGACGTTGTGACTTAGGAGAGGGCATCATGAATCATAGGTCGCGGTGCAATTCTCACTTACTTATCGAATCTATGGTAATGCTTTTCGTCTTCTTTGATTACCGTGGTGTGGCTCACATTGACTTGAATTCACATTCAAATGGTACATAAGGTAGTTTTGAGACGTTTTCGTGAAACTGTTTTCAATGTAAATATTTTTTGAAGTAAACAGGTGGCTTTGTGGTCAGAAAATACATGGACTTTTCACCCCTATAATGCGCCGTCACATTCTGGTTTGATTGCGACTGATAAGATTTAATCGAAGATAAAAAAATGTTCCAATACCAAAAAAAATGTGTTAACAGTTCGGTTTTCGCTCACAGTTTAAATGCACCTGTCCGGTTTAAATTTGATCGAATGGTAAATGGTGAACCATTTCGAGGCTCACTACTTTGTTAAAGAAAAAACACAGAAACTTCAAGTTTAATGGAGAATGTTTATTATCATTCGAAAGAATATTATCTCTTTCAAATGTTGACCGCGCCTACGTTTCAGATGGTCCATTCGATGAGTCCAATTTTCGATGACTCCTTCGAACAAGGACTGAATCGGGATAAAGCGGGTTTGTCCACATAGACATTAGATTTTACATATCAAAACAGGAAAAATTCTTTCGGTGTGATATTATACAATCTTGGTGGTCAATCGACCGGCCTAAAATGTGAAATTATTCGCTCAGCGAAGTGTTCTCTCAAAAAATACATTAATTTATGCGTTGTGTGCGAAGTAGCGGCGTCTTGTTGAAGCCAAATCTCGCCGAGATTACCAGCTTCAATTTCAGCCATCAAATAGTCGGTTATCACGGCGCGATGACGTTCTCACTGACATAAGTTTTGAAGAAATATGGACCGATGATTCCAGTCGCCCACAAACCACGCCAAACAGTTTTATTTTTTTTTTTTTCTGTATAAAATGTCAGCTCTTGAATCTTGCTTGTAGGTTTTGTAAGGTCTATTATTGTATAAAAAAAGAGTTATACATATATTTCCCAATTAACCACTGATTATGATATACTATATTACACCGTGAGTAGTACTTAACCCAGTTATTACACTTATACCTTGTCAAATATAATTTACGAATCACATGAAATTACTTATACTTATTACTAATCTCGAACAACTTTGAGTTGATTGCATTAATTAGAGCTTCACTTAGCAGAAGAGAAACAAACCAACAAGATTTGCATTGTAAGCCACGATTGTGGGCTGCAACAGCACCGACAGTATCAATTAATACTAGATTAAGTGCATCTCTATACATATTTGTATACATGTACTATATATGTACATATATATATGTATATATTTATCTAATGCTTAGTATAGTATTAACAGCACATTGAACTCGCTGTTTTCTTTTCTAACAACTCACCAGCTAATCTTTTCAATTGCAAAAAGCTTTCACCGTCATGAATAAAAGCGGTGAACTCCTCCACATCGAAAGTGGCCTTCCTGCGTTCATTCACCAAATCGGGATTAACAGTTTTTGGTATGGTCATTTTGTTAAAAAATTTTGCTGCACTACTTTTTTTAACGCCTACAAAACTTCGAATATTTTTATTAAAATGATCACAAACAAAACACACGTAGAGAGTAATAAACACGCCGCGAACGAGCTCCAACAGTCCACTACGGATAACAGCGTTTGACTGGCGGTAGCTGCCCGCGTTGAGATCGTTTATTGTGCCTGATGTTGCTCAACGACTTGAATATATTTTTGTACTTTGGTATTTTGTGTCGATATTTGGAGATACTTGAAATGCTCTTTGTTTTTTGGAGCTTTACGAGCGTACTGTGAAGAGGCTGAATTGAGAGCAAAGCGTTACGGCTTGTCTCCTAAACTTTTTAGTTTATATATTTGTGCATATTATTGACACCCAAATATTTGCACAGTGTTTTCCAAAAGCGTTTTTCAAATGACTGCACTTCTACTGGCTGCCGGTCGCGGGCACTGAAATAGATTAGTGATGTGATTGCCAAGTGTGGTGTATGACTTCCCGAATCCCGAAACGAGACTGACGTTGGTAAACCCATGCGATGATCTAGACGAAAGCACAAAAGCACGGTAAGGAAGGTCGAAACGCATGAGCTGAGAGTTTTAGATGACTGTAGGAATTGTTAAGAGCAAGGTACCAGAAAAACAATGAAGCAGCTCTTGTTCTGCATTCGCAAAGTGACGATTCAAACTTTTGGCGACCCTTTGATTTGAGACACTGGAAGAGGAATCGTTAGTGAGGCCACAGAACTTATTGAAATTCGCTTCAAGCGCTTGCATACTGAAGGATAACTATCCCTAGTACTCGACGGCATTCCATCTGGTATCGCTGAGGATTAAAACTAGTATATGAGTGGCTTATTAGCCTAACAGACTAACATAGCCTAACCATACCTTTCCATTTTCAGAGACTCCTACATTTGGTGGCGAAAAAACAACTGATCTCTCAAAAGTTTGATGTTCCTAGTAAGGCGAGTATTCTTTCTCTCGATCCAGTTAAAAGCTTTCAAACAGTTTTAGAGCTCACAAAATATGTACCCGGACCAGATGTAGCTGCTTGCTAATAACCTTGAGTCTTAGTGGCTAAGTTTCGAAGAGGATTTCGAATAACTAAGATAAACCAATCTGTTCAACATAGAGTGGTGTTAAACGAAACGGGTTAACTTATATTGACATTTTAAACATTGGATACTTTTCTTTTTTTTTAGACACTTCATTATGCTGTAACGATTCCGGATATACCAGTATGATTTTCGACAGATTTTAAAAGCAACAACCATTACATAAAAACTGAGATGAGAATCAATTGTCTTTCCTTTTGCAGTGACGATATATTGAATGAAGGTGTCATATTTCCGCTGCCTACACATCGAAAAACTAATAACACGCAAGAGAAATTTAACGAAACCACAATAGGGGTATTCTCTTGCTATTGCAAAACCCTTGTACGGTGCACGAATTGCAGATATTTCCTCTTGGTGCACCGGCACAACAACAAACACACGCAGAGAATTGTTTGCAATGGCTGTGAAATATGTCAGACCAAAGCCCATGTTTATTCTCGTGCAATGACACGTAATGCAACCCTGTGCTAGCTGTCATTTTACTTACATATATATTTGGACGTTAAATTGTTGAGGCAGGAAAATTTTAAATAGATTTTATAATTTTTATTTAAATTATAAAGATTTGTTACAGTTTTTTTT